GTTAATGTACATGTAACATGTTGCATTCTTACAGCCACCAGCATGTTAAAGTAACATGTAAATGTAACATGGTTAACACTGTAGGAGAACATGGGTCCACTTCCTGTCAGCTCTAAAAACATCTGCTTCAACCTCAGAGCGGATACACTCTCCGCTGCACCGAGGCCAACCCAGGATGGACCAACATGTGGCATCCTCACATAAGCATGGCGCAGCAGACCAGGATCAGGAAGTGGAACCGGTCCTTGTCGGAGAACAGGGTGTCCCAGATCCGGATGACGTCTGGCAGGAGGAATTCCTGGGACAGCAGCAGGGTCAGCCAGCGAAACGTGAAGTACTGAGGCTTGATGTTCTGCTCCTCCTGTTGAGAGCAACAGAACCGTTAAGGGAGGAGGCAAAACCTGTGGAGTGGCGGGTGACAGTGTTTCCACACAGACGGGGTTCTGGTACCAGTCTGAGGTGGAGCTGGGGGTCCTTGTCCTTCAGCATGGCATAGACACTCTCCATCTTGTAGGTGATGCCACACTGAGAGTCGTCCAGACTCTTGATGAAGTTGTCCCGGTTCTCCGACATCAGGTTGGTGAAGCAGAAGAATGTGTCCGCCTCAGCGTGCTCTGAGAAGATGAATGTAACATGAAGCAGGTTAAAGTGTAAAATCACCTGGTTCTGGGTGGTAAATCGGACCTTTCCACTGGCTGTTGGGGTCAGTGGCGAACGTGTAATAGACCGGCCCAACAATCTCGTTCATGCCCTGAACGTAGGCGATGCCCGGGTTCAGCTTGGCGTAGATGAAGAGGATCCGCTCCACCACCTCCCAGTGAGCTTCGCTGCCATTGGGCAGAACCTCATACTCGTTGGACGGGTACAGGTTCAGGGACTTCCCAGGTGAGCTCACCTGAGGGGAGGAGGAAGAGATGGGTTGGCTTTTACACAGAGCTTATACAGAAACACCATGAAGCTATCATAACCTGAAACAAGAAGCCTAAACTGTCCGATTGTTTTCTGTTGAAGTGAAACAAAAATCTGAGACAAAAACAAATTTCTAATTAAAATTTAGGCCAAAAACAAACAAAAAAAAGTCAAATAGATTTTTAAATTGAACCAAAGAAAACAACTTAGAAACCTCCAACTTAAATGATATCTGGATTAAATTCTCGTAAACAACTAAAAATGTACAGAGATGTCTCAGGTGAAGCTAAAGATAGTTTAAATATTGCAGCTAAATATGAATTAAAAAAATAAACAATTTCTGCGTTCAATTGTTATTCATCTGAATTTAAAGCAGAAAAAAGAAAATCAAGACTTGAATGTAAACTGCTTTAAATTAAAAACATTTAAGTTTTTTGACTTTTTTATTTTGACATTTTAAGTTTTAGTCAAGAAAAAATAAAAAAAAGTGTTTAAATGTTTTTCTTTTTCTTTCGGCTGCTTCCTTCTTCAGGGTCTCCACAGTGAACTAACTCACACAAAGACTTGGTGATTATTTTACACCAGATGTTCTTCCTGACACAACCACAGACCACCGAGCTACCACAGCCTCTGTGTGGAGCAGAGAGCTGCTCTCTAGGACACGTGGGGGAGCAGATGGGGAGGGTTAAGGGCCTTGCTCAAGGGCCCAGGGTGGGGCAAATGAGGGTGGAGGCAGGTGTGGGTGCTTCACCTACCCCACCCACATTTTGATGTTGTCGGTCTAGGGGGTTGAACCGGCAACTTTCCAATCACAGACCCACCTTCTCTAACCTCTGCACCACCACTCCCCCATTTAAATATAATAAACTAAAAAAAATTAAAATGCTTCACTGTTGGAGTTAAAATAAATTATAAATCAAGTCTAACATCATCTGAGCCCCACGAGTCGACTTCATCCATAAAACCCAGTTCTGACTCAAGATTTTGACTTGGACTCTGTCACCGGACTCGGTTCCTGACTCAGACTCATATGGCCCTTTTGCTTCGCTCCTACTCAGCCCCAACTCTGCTCATCTCCACTCAGATCATCCTGGATTTGCACCGCACTTCAAGACGGTTTCTGAAGGCGTGTCCAGAATCCAAAATCCTAATAAACTTTTAATGAACTTTAGTTCACTGAGTGAGAGTTCTGCGATGAGTTAAGCTCAAAGCAGTCTGCTCCTCAGATAAATAATGTTAAATTATTATTTTATATATGAATGTTTCTGTTCAGTGTCCTGAGACAACTTCTGATGTGACTTTGCACTATATAAACTGAATTACACACCATCAAGACACCATCTTAGCACCAACATAACTGGTTTGTTCCACTTTGGAGTAAGCTGTTTGGGGGAAGAATCAGTTTTGTGCTGTGCGTTTCCTTGACTGATGAAGCCTTCTGGATGGAAGGTGAAACGTTTCAGCAAAAAAGAAACTGTCCAGATGACCTGACTGAAAATTGTTGGATTGTATACCTGGATTATTGAGCATGGACTTTTTTGATAAACTGAATTAAATCTGATGAACCAGATTATACAAAAACATTTATATTTAAAATCCTATATTTTTCTTCATCATTTGATGTATTTGCACTCATTGCATCTACTTTTATTGTTCAATTTAGATATGTGGTTTTGTTTCTTGTATACAGATTGTATTTTAGTGATTTAAAGTTTAATTCTTGTTTTATGATTTGTACACCTGTGGGTTAGAATAAAGTTGAACTAAAGGCTGTAGCTCTAATTTAAACATGTTTGAGGGAAATATTCCTGAGAGATCCAATAATTTTGTCTTGTTATAATTTTCAGTTGAGTTAACTTTAATTAACAGATTATTTAATAAAGTCAAAGTGAAAACAGGATTTCATGATATTATTTATTTTTATTCTTCACTGATAAAAAAAAACATTTTTTATACATAAAATGAAAAAAAAAAGTTTCCACCCTCCGTCCCAGTCCTCCCGCCTTGCCAGGGCTTGGAATCCGGCCTTTGTGAGCACGCGAGGCCGGGGCTCGAGGTCCGGCCTCGCGTGCTTCAATGGGTCAGCAGCTCGTATGATCCTCCACGGTGACTCCGCTCGCTCAAATTTTGTCGTCGGTCACCAAACACAAAAAACACCTGGACTTCAGCATTAAACACAGTATTGTCATTACTGTTCTTAAAATCTTAAAAATAGACCCAGCCGTTGCTCTGTGTTCCAAGAAATTGCAAATGGCGGATCGGTGAAAAGTTTCTGAGATCCAGTGACTCCTCCCCCTGACCAATCAGTGTCCTGCATTCACGTTTTGGTCCCGACTCAGCTCGCACGGTCCCACCAGAGAAGCAGGGACAAAAAAAAGGTCCAGAATCAGCTAAAAACTACTGGTGGAATAAGGATCTTTTTGTGGCGGGCTGAGCAGAGTTGGGGCTGAGTAGGAGCAGTGCAAAAGGGGCAATAGATCACCTCTGAACTCATGTTTGTGACCCGCTGCTGTTCCTCTGACCCAAAAAGAACCTTTGAACTCACGTTTGTGACCCCGCTGCGGTTCCGGTTGACGGTCTGTGCCTTCAGGGTGGTTTGTTCGACCCGTCTCCGCAGCGTCTCGTAGTCATTCTGAGGGTCCAGGATGAGCTGGCAGGGATAGTCTGTGGGTCTCTGGAAGAATGCCATGTCCGGGTACAACCGCCTGGAACAGAACCACAAGCTCTGCTGCCGTGACCGGTTCATGGACTCAAGGTTGTACGTGACAACAGAACCAAGACCCACCTGACGTCTTTGTCAATCTGCAGTAAGATCTCGTTATCTTTGAAGTAAGTATTCCACCGGCTGTCTGGGTTTGGGTTCAGAGGCTGAAAGAGCCGAACAGAACCATAACCAAATAAACCCACAGAACATTTACTGCCTCGGTGATTTTAGAACTCTGAGAAGATTCTCTAGAAACAGATGAAATTTGATTCAGGTTTCAGACATCTGGACCAGAACCAATTGAACCTGATCTGACCGCAGCACAGAAACATGTGGTTTACTGACTTCAACTGGACCGGACTCACGTGATCCTCCAACGTCACGTCTTCTCTGGACAGACCCATGTTGGCTTTGGCTAGGCCCGGCTGGATGATCATCTCTCTGAGGAACTGAGAGTAGACCTCCCTGTCGGGGGACAGTGGGACCAGAGACATGAGGAAGACCAGAGACAGGAGGGAGACCAGAGACAGGAGAAGTCCAGGGACAGGAGGGGGACCAGAGACGAGAGGGAGACCAGAGACGGGAGGGAGACCAGATACAGGAGGGAGACCAGAGACGAGAGGGAGACCAGAGGGAGACCAGAGACAGGAGGGAGACCAGAGACGGGAGAGAGACCAGAGACGGGAGGGAGACCAGAAACGGGAGGGAGACCAGAGATGGGAGGGAGACCAGGGACAGGAGGGAGACCAGAGACGGGAGGGAGACCAGAGGGAGACCAGAGACGGGAGGGAGACCAGAGACGGGAGGGAGACCAGAGATGGGAGGGCGACCAGAGACAGGAGAGAGTCCAGAGTGTTAAAAACAGAAAGAAAAACTGATTTATCTAAGTCTAAACAAAGAGGCAACATCTCTTGGTTAAAAGTTTGTGTTCTTTTTATAATCTAACTCTGTCTGCAAACATTTTTCTATTTCAGCTGTTCATACATCAGAACTTTTGGCTCATTCAGCCCATAGCTGCTGTGACTTTTATTTTTTGTAACTTTAAAAAAAAATTAACTTTATTTACAAATATTCACCTCAAAAAAAGATTCAGAACTCTAATTCCTTCAAAAACTTTCTGGAATCTGCTTCAGCTAATGGATCCACTTTTGTCTTCCTACACCACTGGTAGCTTTTAGCAAATGCTGTGGTAGACTTAGGTTGTTTTCACACCAGATAGTCTGGTAGACTCGGTTCGGTTCGGGACCAATATTCATGACCTTTTGTTACATTTGAGCGGGTGCGTTTGCATTCACACTGCACTGTGCAGTCGAGTCAACCTGTTGAACCAACCTGTTCCCCCGCTCGCCTGTGGGGGCGCTGCACCTAGAACTACTGAAAGAAATGACACAAAAACCTCTGAAGACACTTCTTCTTCTTCTGTAAATAAAAATAAAAACGAAGTGGCATCAAGTTTTAGCAGTTTTAGGAGTTATATTTTGTCATTTTTCAAAAATAGACTTTGCATGAGCAGAAGATGAGACAGAAGACCATGGAGAATATTGTTTTTCACACAAGGCAACTGACGGCTCCATATGAGGTCAGAGAAATGCGTGTTTGTTTACCCTGTGGAGCAGGGCCCGGTCTGTTTACATTCACACTGTACTCGAACCGCGCTGGAGTTCGTTTCTACCGGACCGAGACCTAGGTTTTAGCCCGGGCCAGAGTTCTCCTTTTTGTTCCGTGACAGAGTTCGATGGTGCGTTCACACCTCCCCAAACGAACCGGACTTTCTAGGAAAATGAGCTAGAGTTTGATTAAAGCGGACTAAACAGGGCTGGTGTGAATGCACCCATAGCCATTGCTTTGTTACTTTTAGGTACTATTTTGCTCCTTATAGCGCTACTGGTTTGCTCATTTTGTCTATAGTGTCTGCTTTGCAAATTTTAGCTACTGTTCTGCTTCTTTTAGTTTCAAGCTGTTGTTTTGCTTCTTTTACAAACTGGATTCCAAAAAAGTTGGGACACTAAACAAATTGTGAATAAAAACTGAATGCAATGATGTGGAGATGGCAAATATCAATATTTTATTCATAATATAACATAGATGACAGATCAAAAGTTTAATCTGAGCAAATGTAACATTTTAAAGGAAAATATGTTGATTCAAAATTTCACAGTGTCAACAAATCCCAAAAAAGTTGGAACAAGTAGCAATAAGTGGCTGGAACAAGGAAATTGAGCATATAACGAACAGCTGGAAGACCAATTAACACTAATTAGGTCAATTGACAACATGATTGGGTATAAAAAGAGCTTCTCAGAGTGTCAGTGTCTCTCAGAAGCCAAGATGGTAAGAGGATCACCAATTCCACCATTGTTGCGCAGAAAGATAGTGCAGCAATACCAGAATGGTGTTACCCAGCGTAAAATAGCAAAGACTTTTAAGTTATCATCATCAACCGTGCATAACATCATCAAAAGATTCAGAGAATATGGAACAATCGCTGTGCGTAAGGGTCAAGGCCGTAAAACTCTACTGGATGCTTGTGATCTCCGGGCCCTTAAACGTCACTGCACCTCAAACAGGAATGCCACTGTCAAGGAAATAACAGAATGGGCTCAGGAATACTTCCAGAAAGCATTGTCAGTGAACACAATCCACCGTGCCATC